TTCACAGGGCTCTGCAGCCCCCGGGCTTTGTCCCCGAATGGCTGGTTGGCATTCGTCTGATCAACACTGGCCGGCTGGTTGCATTTATCTCCGGTGTTCCGATGTCCATCCGCACCAATGAAGTGTACGACGCCCTCCTCCCCCCTCCCCCCCTCCCCTCCCGTGCGATGGGCTCTCCCCTTTCCCCTTTCTAACCGAGCCCCGGCCGTGATCCCAGCACCCACCGCATGCCGGCCATCAACTTCCTGTGCATCCACAAGAAGCTCCGCTCCAAGCGCCTGGCCCCGGTCCTCATCAAGGAGATTACTCGCCGTGTCCATCAGACTGGCATCTTCCAGGCCATCTACACGGCCGGCGTGCGCATCCCTCGGCCGGTTTCCAGTGTGTCCTACTACCACCGGCCGCTGAACTACCAGAAGCTGATGGACGTGGGCTTCGTCCACCCGGGCACTCAGCTTTTGTCCAGCATCCTGCGCCAGTATCGCCTGCCGAAGACCGTGGCCCTGCCGCACTTCCGGCCCATGCGCCCGGAGGATGTTCCCCAAGTGACTGCCCTCTGGGCCGATGCCTCGGCCACTCGGTACAACCTGACGGCCGAGTTCACCGAGGAGGAGGTGGCGCACTCGTTGATCCCCCGCGACAAGCTGGTCTACACGTACGTGGTGGAGGCTCCCCCGGCCACGGCGGGCGGTGCCCCTGGGCCCATCACCGACATGGTGTCCTTCTACAGCCTGCCGTCTCTGTGCCTGGGGCACCCGGTCCACCGGACCCTCAACGCCGCCTACCTGTACTACTACGTGTCCACAGCCACCCCGGTGGCGGACCTTGTGCGGGGGGCCCTCATCGAGGCGTCCAATGCCGGCTTTGATGTGTTCAACTGCCTGGACATCATGACCAACTCGGAGTTCTTCTCCCAGCTCGACTTCGGTGTTGGCGATGGCACCCTCAATTTCTACCTCTACAACTGGGCCATGCCGACTGTGCCCGGGGGCAAGGTGAGCGTCGTGCTGCCCTAGACGCGCCGCACAGACATCTCCCTCTCCCCGCTGCTCCCCTCCCCTTCCCTCGCCGCCCATCCCCTCCTTCTCCCCTCATCACTCCCTCTTGTGCAAGTTTCCCTTTCCTGGTGCCCCCGTCCTCTGGTCTGATTCCAAGTGCCCTCTGATCCGGAGGAGGGTGTCCAAAGCCAAAATACATACACACCTGAATTCGCCATCCTTCTCGAGAGGGTCTTCAGTCGGGATCATACCCCCCGGCCGGCTTTCTTCGTCCCCTATTTTCACACCAACCTTCGTTCCCCCCCCCCCCCCCCCCCCCCTGAGACTTGTTGTTTCCTCCCGGAGCAGGCAGCTTCGTCAGGGGGAAGTGCCCACCTTTGGTCTCCTCGCCCCCGGGCCCCCGTGGCGACCCGCACAGGTCCAAGACTAAAGCCGGTCTCAAGGTGTGAGCGAAAATCTCCGGCCATTGGTAAAAATGACCCAGGTCATATGATCAAAGACATTCAACGGTCTTCCCCTTTTAAATCCGGCCGCCGGGTGCCTCTGGCCTGGCATAGTCTGACATCCCTCGCCACACCCGTCCCTCACCCCCCTCGCCCCCCCCCCCCCCGTTCACCCCCCCCTCGCCCTCTCCTCCACTCTTGCCCGCCAGACTTGTTTCTTGACATGGGGTCGTCTCAAGCCGACGCCGAGATCTCGTCTCTCGACGCCGCGAACCTCTCGGATCTGAGTCCGTCCCAGATCCCAGGGGCTGCCGGTGGTGCCGATACCGAGGATCTGCTGTTCAGCAGCCTGCCGATGGTGCAGGTGGTTGGGCTATCGGAAGCCGAGCGTGCTCCCTCGGCCTCCCCGCCGCCGTCGGATACCGAAGATGTACACGGACAGGGGGCGCCCGGCCGTGAGGAGCACACCGCCACTGAATTGGCCGGTGCTGTGGTGCCTTTGCCGGAGGAGCTGCGTGGCAGCATCATTGCTCCCTCCCTGCCGACATCCCGTGTCCGGCGAACAATTATGCTCGACCCAGCCATGCGCATGATCCCACAGGCCTCCGTGCGAGCGGTTGCCTGTGCCACGGTTTGTTCTCACTCTCTGCCGCCTTCCGCCATGGATCTCGGTTTCCTGTTGGTTTTCTGACCTCCCGGCCCATCCTCTCAGGAGAACTTCATTGCCCTTCTTGGTGAGCAAGCCTTCTCCCTGTTGGGGAGTCGAAAGACCATCCGTGACACCGATATTGGTACATCCACAGCTGCCCCCCCCCCCCCCCCCCCCGCCCCTGCCCGCCCCCCCTTTGCCCTGTTTTAGCCTCCTGGCTTGTCCCCCCCCCCCCCTCCCAGCGGCGGTCATTCACCGCGACGTGCGGTATCATTTCATGCGAGGTTCTCCCCACCCAGAGCGCCCCGGCGCCAGTCCCCTCCCCTGCCATCTCGCTTTCCACCATAGCACCCCCTTCTAGATGCTAATATGCTCACCGCCACCACCCAGATGTTTTCCCCAAGCCCAGCCAGATGCCCTCCGGGAGCGGCCTCGTCCCGCCCCAGGCCAAGCGCCGCAATGTCGGCACCAATTCCGGCTCCATGGACCGAGATCCCGGTGCCGCTCCACCAGCTGGGCCCGTTCAACAGACCCTACGGTTTACTCGGACCCCCGAGGCCGGGGGAGGTCTTGGCAAGTCCTCCTCGGAGGCAAGCATGCAGCTCGACCCTGCTGGACAGGGTCCAGGCACCGATGAGCCGCCCCTGGAGGAGGTCTCCCTGGCGTCTCCGCCGCGAGCTGCCACAGCGGAAGGTGGGCCGCAGGTCGATGCCACGCAGGAGCTCTCCCAGCCTTCGGAGATCCCCCCGACTGCGACCGCTCCCCACTCCTCGGCGGATCTCTTTTCACGCTTTGCATTCAAAGAATGAGCTGTCGCATGCCATCAAGAATACACTGCTCTGTGCAATTCCGCCTCTCCGATCTTTGTACCGCCATGTGCCCTTCGGGGGTGCGACGCCTGCCCCCTTGAGAAGGAAGAGGGTAGCATTGCCGCTCCCAGTTGGTGCCGTTTCTAGAAACCGAAACACGGTCGCTGTCGGTCAAACGAACCGAAGCTCCCTTTCCCGGCAGATTACCCGGCGAGAGAGCCACACACCCACCCACCCACACACACACACACACACACACACACACACACACACACACACACACAGGGGGCTGGGCGATCTCCGGGTGGGGCGTGCCGTCCCCTCTGTCACAGGTGTCCCGTCCAATGTTCCATCTCAAGGTGGCCCCACTCGCGGTGCCTCCCTGCGCACCTCCTTCCTGGCCTGCTGCTCGTCTCGAAAGGCGGACCGATGGATGGTCCGCGATTAAGTGTGGTTCTTTCCCCGGGCCGCAAACTTCTTCGGCAGGCAGGCTTGTCAAGATCGGCCAGGAGTCGGAAGCCATGCTCTTCCACTCGCCATCTACCGCCTCTCTTCTTTCCCCTCTGTCCTTCTCCCCCCCACCTACTGGAGCACACAGGGAATCTCCCTCCCTCTCCCTCTCCTCCCTCCCCCCTCTCCCTATCTCTCCCGGGCATTCTACAAACTACCCCCGTTTTATTCGCCCCCGTTCATTTCTCAATCTTTTCCCCCGCCGATTGGAGCTGAGCTTAATCTCCCGGGAATACCCCCCAGTCCCCCTGGCTAGCATGAGGGGATCGCTGAACGTCATCGCAGCTGCCACCCTTGGTATGTCTTCCACCTTGCTTCTGTCTGCCTCGTTCCCCCTCCCGTTCTCACTCTTCCCCCTCCTCTCTCTCCCCCTCCCCTCTCCCATCCGGTCCTTGCCTATCATCAGTGGCAGCCCTGTTGCCGGGACTCCTTGTGAGCGCCCTTCCCTTGGGCGCCAGCTCGAGCAAGGCCAGCTCCTCCTCCGGCTCTGAGTCCTCCTCTATCACCCCACTCACCTTGAACACGGGTAATGACTGCCATGCCACGCGTTACGCCTGGCTCCAAGGGGAGCTTGCGCGCTTGGATTGTGAGCGCGATGATGACAGCAAGACCCTCTGCAACCATCCCGAGTGTTTCCAGCTCTACTTCCAACGTGAAGCATGCCGGCTTGCAGCCTACGACTTCGGACAGTTCCGCTTGGACTTTGGCCCTGGCAGCTCGCCTGATGGTGGGCTAGGGCGCATGATGCACAACAGCTGTGTCGGTTTGCTGGCCGATCTGCAGGCCATCTGTCAGCTCCGGTATCCGGATTCCTTCGGCGCAGTGACCGACACCATGTGCTGGCTCTGTCCGAATGGCCATGCGGACATGCCTGATGAACAGCCCTTCGGTTCCCCCGGGGCCACATGCAGCAGTGTCTTCCTGGAGCGCGTTTCCGTCGACTGTCAGTGGGAGATCCGCCGAGACGCGTCGGCCAGTGGCGGCGACCCGTCATCCCTTTCGGCATCAGGCCCGACCTCTGGCTCGAGTCTGGCCACCATGGACACCAGCAGCATGGACACCAGCATCGAGAAGCCAGTTTGCATGGGAACCTGTCCGGATCAATATGAGATGGCTCGTCGCTGTGAGCGTAGCCTCGGCCGCTTGACTCTGGCGGACTTCCTCGACCAGATGGACATCCTCGATAGGCACTGTAACCCGCCGGAGCCCCTTCCCGGACAGCCGTCCGACAGTGGTGGGTCCTCCCCCTCCTCCTCCTCCTCCTCCTCCTCCTCCTCGGCGGCTACCTCATCAAGTGCCTCTTCTGGCTCGGCCCCCAGTGAGTCCGGGGCCCCTGTGTCGGACGATTCGTCGGCCTCTGCCATGGTCGTGAGGTGTCCCTCGAATGAGCCATTTTTCCTTCCGCCCCCGGTTGCCGACAATCCGGCCCCTATGAAGCCGGTTGGCGATTGCCCCGAGCCGCCCGGGTCGTCAGCTGCCTCCTCATCCAGCAGTGACGCGGCCAGTCGTTATGCGGCTTCTGCCGCGATTCCCTCCCTGGCAATTGGTGCTGCCTCGACCCTGGCCCTGCTGGGATCGATCTTCGATCTGGGTGTTCTTTGAACGCCGGTGCCTTCCCTTGCCCGCCTCCCCCCCCCCCTCCCTGTGCCACTCCTCCCACGAGAGTAGTCCCTTGTTCTTGGGTTGCCCTGGTGCAAGCCACATCAGATCTCCCTCTAGGGCGAGAAAAATGCCCGTGCAGGGGGCTGCGCTCTCCGCCCTTTGTCGGGGAGATGGATCGCGGAGCATCTCATATCACTCTTCCTTCTTCCCCTCCCTCCTATCCTGCTCCCTTTTCGCAACCGGTTCGGGCATTTGTTTGAACACAATACACCATTTTGCTCCTCACCAAGACCAAGCTGTTGCTCCTGAATGCATGCATGCGGAAGCCCGCCGACAAAAAAAAACCTCTCTCACTCTCAAAGGCACGCACACATGCACACTCCCGCGCACAACATCGCCCTCGCCAAGTGACCCCCCACCGGCGGGTGAAGGGACCGAGGTGAGGCTGGGGCAGGGCGCGGGGGAGCAGCGCCCAGGCGTGATCGGCCAACTCGGGGGCAGGGGCGCCGATTGCGCATCGCATCCGGCCGCGAAGATAAGCCGCGGGCTGCCATATACTACTTTGGATGATTCTTTTCCGTGGCCGGGCCCAGGTGCCGCCGAAAGCCCGCGAAATTCCCACGCACATGCGTGACCTGCGGGTGATGCAATCTTACGCGCCGAAAACACCCCTTGGATGGGGTCGGCAGGCGCACGCCCAGAGGGGAGGCATATGGGGCTGGAGTCCCCCCCAGCAAGGACGACAGCGCAAGCTCGGGTAAGGACCCTTCGCCGGGCAGGGGCGGTAAGTGTGGAGTGGTGCGCGTGTGTGAATGTCCGTGTGTGAATGCCCATGCCCATGGGCGTGTGTGTGTGTGTGTGTGTGTGTGTGTGTGTGTGTGTGTGTGTGTGGGGCGGGGGGCAGCATCCGAGTGATGGCTTGCCTTGTGAGTTCGGAAGGTCGACTGACACAGTTAGAAGAAGCCCGGGCCTGGAACAGAGCCCGCCGAGTGGACTTAGTTATGTCCCCTCCTCCACACACCTCACTCGTCACTCGATCAAGTCCCCCCCCCCCTTCTCCCCTTTCTCCGATCTTTTACCACCTACTTTCGCCTTTGCCTGGGTCCTTTCCATCTCCCCTCTCTCCTTTCCCCCGCATGTCAACTATGCACTTCGGGGGCGCCATGCAGCCTCTTTCGGCTTGCGTGTCGCAGATCCTCGACAGCCTGCGCGCCTTGCCTGACGACTCGATGAACCTGAATGTCGAGCTGGCCACCGAGGCGTGTGGGCAGAATCGTCCAGGCACGCGCCTATCCCTGCCCCTTCCGATGGAGCCCATCACCGCGGAGTTCATTCGGTCCGCAGAATTCGCCAAGGCCTTCCGCGAGCTGGCCAGCGGACTGAAGGAGGTGGCGGCTTCCCTTCACATGACCGCTGATGCTCTGGTTGACCGACTTATCCGGTCTCAGCACCGCGGCGAGCCGCTCTCGGGTCCGTTCCCATGGTCTCCGACACCCATGGATGCACTTGCACTCTCTTGTGTATCTCCCTCCCTCCCCGCCCTCAAGGCAGCAAACAAACTAATCCTCCCTTCCAATGCTCCCCCCCCCCCCCTCCCGATACAGCCTGTCTGTCCAAGTCCGACCTGCAAGCGCATCCGCGGATTGAGCATAACATTCGCATGGTGATGTCCCTGCTGCGGAATCACCAGTCGGTGGAGCTTTCGGGCATGGTGCAGCAGAGCCGACGGAACTTTGACATCATGTCCATTCCCTTTAAGCAGGTGGCCGACATCCGCCAGGCCGGCCGTCGGTTGATCGAGGGTGTTGGCCGGGTCAACCGCGACCGCCAGATTATCACGGATACCTCGAGCCTCAATCCCAGTTCGTATCGCCCAGCACATTGGTCCCCTCTTTCCCTTCGTTTTCGCTGTGCATTCTAACTCACCCCCTTTCTTTGCCTGTTGCTGTTTCCGTTTCCTCCGCCTCCCTCCCCTGACAGTGAGCTTGCGTTATGTCGACCGGACATGGCTCATGCGCTTCGTGGCATCGATCTTCGGGAATTTGCCAACCGACGAGCAGAGTGACATCGCGCTGTCCCTGATGAAGCTCCTCCAATCGGACTCCCCGGCTCTGATGCTGGAGAGCGAGCTGGTTGCCATTCTCGGCTACTCGCGCCTTGAGGCCGTGGCCAGCTTGCTGGAAAACCAGCGAGGCTTTCTGGCCGCCATCGAGCCCTTCCTCGAACGGGCCATTGAAGTTGAGGAAGAGTACCTTCGCAAGCAGGAGGCCGCGCAGAATGCCTCCGCGCCGAAGAGCAGTGCCATTACCCTGTCCCAGGTGACCATTCGCACGACCGAGGACATCAAGCAATCGCGGGCGCAGAAGAGTGCCGCCCGGCGAAATCGTCGAGCGGCTTCCCGCCGGGGGGGCTCGCTTCCGGAGGAAAGCCTCCACAACTGCTATGTCCGGGCCCTGGGGTATGAGCCGATCGATCCATACTCGGAGGCGGCAGCTGAGCGCCTGCGCCGACAGCAGGCCGCCACCTTCCTGACTCCCAGTCAGCTTGAGGATAAGGCTGAATATCCGAATGTCTTCCGGTCGGCCTCCTCGCAGCCGGTGGATCTTTTTGGCCGGTCCTTTGTTCTCCCGGCCGGGTCGGTGGTCACCCATACCTCGACCACGCATGAGATTTCCATCCCGCCTCCGGCCACCGCCGAGCGTCTGGACCAGGAAACCGACCTGGTGGACATCGACCAGTTTGATCCGTTTGCCCGCCGGGCCTTCCCCGGCTATGAGAGCCTCAACCGCTTGCAGTCCTTTGTCTTCCCTGTGGCGTATCACTCCAACGAAAATATGCTTGTGTCGGCCCCCACCGGTGCCGGTAAAACGGATGTGGCCATGATGACGGTCCTGCGCGAACTGAAGGAGGTACGTCCATGGTTGGATATTTGCCCGGCTGTCTTGGTTTCCGCTCCGCTTGGTGGTTTGTTCCCCCTCCGGAACCCAGTATCTGACCCCTCGTTATCCGTCCCCCCCCCCCCCCCCGCCCCGATTGCCCCCCTCCTCTCCTCATCCACTCGATGTGTAGCATGTCCACATGAATGTCATCCAGAACCGCAACTTCAAGATTGTCTATGTCACCCCGATGAAGGCCTTGGCTTCGGAAATTGTGCAGAAGTTCTCCCAGCGTCTGGGCTATTTGAACTTCACCGTGCGAGAATTGTCTGGAGATATGCATCTGACGAAGGTTCGTGGCGGTTTTTTCCCCCCCCCCCCCCCCTCCCCCATACACAGTCGCACACGCGCACGCGCACAGCCCCCCCCCCCTTTTCTCCTTCACTCGCTTGTTTCTGTTGTCTCGCATCCATGCCCCCTCGGCTCCAGATCTTTACTCACCTCCGTGCGTCGAACAGTCCGAAATTGAGAGCACCCAGATGATTGTCACCACGCCGGAGAAGTGGGACATTATCACCCGTAAGAGTGGCGGAGATACCAGCCTCACGTCTCTGGTGAAGCTGCTGATCATTGATGAGATCCATCTGCTGAATGACCCCCGAGGCTCGGTCATTGAGACTCTCGTCGCCCGAACCCTGCGCCAGGTGGAGTCCTCTCAGACGATGATTCGCATTATCGGTCTGTCGGCCACCCTGCCGAACTTTGTGGATGTCGCGCGCTTCCTGCGTGCCGATCTCAAGGTCCGGCTTCCCCGGAGTCTCACCACTTCGCTCGCCTCGATTTCTTCCACGGTCCTAACTCTGCCTCCTCCCCCCTGCTTCTCTCCCTCTCTTCCTCGCCACACACACTCAAACACACACACACACACACACACGCGGTCCTCAGACCGGCCTCTTCTTCTTCGACAGCTCCTTCCGGCCGGTTCCTCTGTACCAGAAGTTCATTGGTATCAAGGGCTCCAACCAGCACCAGGTGGCTGGGCGCATGGAGGACGTGTGCTACAGTCTGTTACACGAGCGTCTGAAGGCCGGCAAGCAGGTCATGATTTTCGTGCACTCCCGTAAGCAGACGGTAATCGTGGCTCAAAACATGCTGAAGCGTCTGCGCGAGGCGAATGAGCTGTACGTCGACACACGCACGCACGCACGCACGCACGCACGCACGCACGCACTCGAAGGGCATCTTTTGTCCGCCTCCTTCTGACACCGATTTCCCGCCCACTTCCCACACGGATAGATCTCTTGTGCAGCCTGAAAACAATCCCGACCTCGACAAGGCCAAGTCGTCCCTCGCTCGGTCCTCCAATGCCGACCTGCAGAATCTGGCCCCCTTCGGGATTGGGTTCCACAATGCCGGCATGGCCCGCCCGGATCGGAACCTGGTGGAGTCGCTCTTCGCCAAGAGTGCCCTGCGGATGTTGGTCTGTACCGCCACTCTGGCCTGGGGTGTGAACCTTCCAGCCTCTTGTGTCATTATCTTCGGCACGCAGCTGTACGACGCGGATCAGGGCGGCCATGTGGACCTGAGCATCCTGGATGTGCAGCAGATTTTCGGTCGTGCTGGCCGACCCCAGTACAAGGACTCCGGCGAAGGCATCATCCTGACCTCGGCCGACAAGGTGGACCACTATGTGTCTCGCATGTTGACCGACACGCCGATCGAGTCGCGTCTTGGTGACCAGCTGCCGGATAATCTGAATGCCGAGATCGTCCTTGGCACTGTGACGAACATCCCGGAGGCCATCACCTGGTTGCGGTACACGTATCTGTATGAGCGTGCCTGCCGCAACCCCATGGCCTATGGCATCTCGTATGACGAGTTCACACGCGACCCGCATCTGTACAACTGGAGGTCCGTTTCTGCCTCTCTCTCTCTCTCTCTCTCGCTCTCTTTCTCCCCGTGCCTGAGTCTTCAGGACTCGCCTCAGCTCGCTCATCATACATCTCTCCTGTTGACTGCCGCCCGTCACTCCGCCTCTGCTAACACGCGCGTGCACAAAAACATGCTCACACACACACACATGATCCCATACGCACAGCCAGAAGCGCCTCCATGATGCGGCCGAGCAGCTTGACAAGAGTCGCATGATTCGCTATGACCGGCCGACTGGGCAGTTGAGCGCTACCGCTCTCGGCCGGACTGCCTCGCATTTCTACATCCCCTACCAGACGGTGGAGATCATCAACGACGAGTTCAAGGCCAATCTCAAGGAGCCAGAGCTCCTGGCACTGGTGTGCAAATCCACCGACTTCAAGAGCATCCAGCTCCGCGAGGAGGAACAGGAGGAGCTCAGCAAGATCTACGATATGTTCTGCTTTATGGAGGTCAAGGTACGGCTTTGCCTTGGTATTTTCTTTATCCATACCCCCTTTCTCTTTCTCCCTCCCTCTCTCTCTCTCTCCCCCTTCACTAACCCTGATGCTTCTCGTTCCCCTCCACTCCCATAGAACGACCGCACTTCCCCCGAAGCCAAGGTCAACATCCTTATTCAGGCGTACATTCGCCGGTACATGCCAGCTTCCTCGTCGCTCTCCTCGGACCAGCTATATGTGGCACAGAATGCTGCGCGCATTTTCGGCTCCCTGTTGGAGATTGCCATCCACAAGGGCTGGCTCAATGTGGCCTTCCACCTTCTGCAAATTTCCCTCTCGATCGAGCGCCGCATCGGGTACGTGACCTGCGATTTCCTCTTTGGACTTTCTTCCCCCCCCCCCCCCCTCCTCTCGACTGTCCCCCCTATCCGCCACCGTCCATTCTGACTTCCTCTTTTCCCCCGGATCCCAGGATGGACGCCCACCCGATCCGGCAGTTCTCCCACGTCATCCCGGTGGACATCCTCACGCGCTTGGAGGAGTCCGGCGTGTCGGATGACGACCTGTTCGCCATGACCGATGCGGAGATTGGCGAATTGGTCCGGCGCCAGAGCTGCGGCAGCATGGTCAAGGCCGCCCTTCGAAAGATCCCCTTCCTGGATGTGGTGGTGCACTCGCAGCCGCTGTCGCGCAATATCCTTCGCATCGAGTGTGAGATCCAGGCCGACTTCGAGTGGGACCGCCGGTACCACACCGAGGTGGAGCCCTTCTTCTTCTTCATTCAGGACTCGGACTCCATGGAGATGCACCATTCCGAGCGGTGGATCCTCAACTACAAGGCCCGGAACAACACACACACGGTGGTCTTCCTGGTGCCCATCCGCGAGCCGGTCCCCTCGCAATATTCGCTCATCATCGTGTCCAGCCGGTGGTTGAATGTGGTGCAAACCCTGCCCATCAGCTTCAAGCATCTGATCCTGCCGGACCATCGGCCGCCGCATACCGAGCTTCTGAGCTTGGACCCGCTCCCGGTGACGGCCCTCGGCAATGATCGGCTGATGGGTCTGTACCTGGACAAGGGGATTCGCTTCTTCAACACCATCCAAACCCAGATCTTCCACGCCCTCTTCCATGGGACGATGAATGTCCTGCTCGGTGCGCCGACCGGTTCCGGTAAGACCATCGCCGCGGAGCTGGCCATGTGGCAGGCATTCCGCCGGTTCCCCGAATCCAAGGTCGTGTACATTGCCCCGCTCAAGGCCCTTGTCCGCGAGCGGATGGACGACTGGTCGGAGCGTCTGCACGCGGCCCTCGGCATGAAGACCGTGGAGTTGACCGGTGAAACGGCCCCCGACATTCAGACCATCCGCCAGAGCAACATCATTGTCACGACGCCCGAGAAGTGGGATGGTATTTCGCGCGGGTGGAAGCGCGATGCCTCCTTCCTGACCAATGTCTCGCTGGTCATCATGGATGAGGTGCACTTGCTGGGGCAGGATCGTGGGCCGATTTTGGAGGTGATTGTTTCGCGCATGAACCAGATCAGCGAACGTACCGGGCGCCCGGTGCGCTTCCTCGGCCTGTCGACGGCCCTGTCCAATGCCCAGGATGTGGCCGCCTGGATGGGGGTCCCCGCGCGGGGGCTCTTCAATTTCAAGCCGGCCGTGCGGCCGGTTCCGATTGACATCAACTTCCAGGGGTTCCCGGGGAAGCATTACTGCCCGCGAATGGCTCTGATGAACAAGCCGGCCTTCGATGCCATTCGTCAGTATTCCCCGGAGAAGCCGGTTCTCGTGTTTGTGTCCTCGCGTCGGCAGACGCGCCTGACGGCGCAGGACCTGCTGGCCTACCTCTCGAAGGAGGACAATCCCTTCCGCTGGCGGCGCAACATGTCGGATCTGGAGTTCGAGGAAGTGGTGGCCACGGTGAAGGATGATGTCCTGTCCAACACCCTGGCCTTTGGCATTGGTCTGCATCATGCGGGTCTTTGCAATTCCGATCGAAAGCTCTGTGAGCGGCTTTTCAATGAGCGCAAGATCCAGGTCCTCATTGCCACCAGTACATTGGCTTGGGGTGTCAATACTCCGGCCTACCTGGTCATCATCAAGGGGACTGAGTACTTTGACCCGAAGACCCACCGGTATGTGGACATGTCCATCACCGACATCATGCAGATGATGGGACGTGCGGGCCGTCCGCAGTTCGATGACAAGGCCATGGCATTTGTCATGGTGCAGGACGTGAAGAAGGACTTCTACAAGAAGTTCCTGACCGAGCCCTTCCCGGTGGAGTCCTCCCTGCCGTTGATGCTTCCGGATCACTTCAATGCGGAGATTGTCATCGGCACCATCACCGACATCCCCTCGGCGTTGGCCTACCTGTCGGCCACCTACTACTTCCACCGCCTGTGCCAGAACCCCTCCTACTATGGGGTGGCTACCAGCGGGTCGGAGGACATCCAGCGCCACCTCCACCAGCTGACCGAGCAGACTCTGGTCGACCTGAAGGAGTCTTACTGCATCAGTGCGTTTGGCTGGGCCGTCTTCCTCCCCTGCTCTCCATAACCGCTCGTGTGTCCTCTTTCCAGCAAGTGGATGTTCTGAAACTAATGCTTTTGTCCTTTCTCCCTCTCTTCTTTTTCCCCTCTCTTCCTTTCTCCCTCTCTTCCTTTCTCCCTCTCTTCCTTTCTCCCTCTCTTCCTT